CTCCTCCCCAGGGCCGCCGTAATCAGAGGTAATTGCCCGGGCTGTTATCTCCCTGCAGCCTGCGTCCTGCTTCCAAATACCTCTAATTGAATTGCTGTAATTTTTGCCCTTTCTAATGCAGCGGGTTGGCGAGGGGGAAATGACCCAGGGGAGGCGGAGGAGAGGGGGAGGGCGGCTGTCGGCTCCCCCCCTCCCCACTCCCGGAGAGCGTCCCTCCCGCGCGGTCGAGCTGCAGCCCATAAAGAGCGGAGGGGAGGGAGGGTGGGCGTGCAGGTCCCCGCCCGCGCAGCGTGGCCATGCAGTGAGTGTCCGCCGGCAGGACCGCAGCCGTGGGACGAGGCGCCAGCGCCAGGGGAAACGCTGCGAGGGAGAGGTCGTCGCGCCCCGGCTCAAGGTATTCCCCTCCCCACCTCTCGGCCTCTCTCCCAGTGGGAATTTGGGCTCCAAACCGGTAGCCGCAGCCGCCCTGCCCCACGGGAAGAAGGTTCACCCCCGCTTCCCACCCGCGGCGGGGATGCTCACATGCCCTGGGGGGCTTTTTTTTAGGCGAAGTGATAACTCAGAGCATTTACCCTCGTACGGTTTCTTTCCAGATGCAGAAGTGCACTAGTTTCCTGTTTCTGTCTTTAATCCTTTGTGCCACCCTGTCAGAAACATTTGGATTGGTTTTCTCAGTAAGTACTGTTTCGCTGTTGGAGGCCCTCTCCACCGGGCAGCATCCGTGTCTCAGCTGGCAAGTAACAGTAAACCTTGCAGTGATACACACTGTATTTAGATACAGGGGTTGGACAAAATGCGGCACTCAACAAAACATTTTGTACAGTAAACAGGTTTTTAGTTAAGAATTTGGGGCTTTTGAATACTAGTTCCCTTGTAACAAATAATATGACTGAAGGGGGAAAAAAGTGTCTAGTTTATAGACCAAAATTGAATGGATGTCCCATTTGACTCAGAAAAGGTGGTGTACATATGGACCCTTTTTATAAAAAGGCTGTCATGTAAATCCAAACAATTAAAAGAAAACACTGCTTTTTGTTAAGGTGATTATCAGGTGGTAATATAAACTTGGTGTATAAAGTCAAAATTTCTGCCTCAAAAGTGCGATTTGTAGTTTCACTTATATGGTGTGAAATCTTCACACCACATGGATCTCGATAGCAAAACTATTGACTTAGATGGGGAGGGGGCAAGAGTTCACCATTAATATTTGCTTCAATATTATTGGCTTTTATTTTTTACAATATTTCTTGATTTCAAGCCTTCAGAAGACACTTTCTGCTAAGAGAATGTCCATTTGGGTGCTGTTTGCTTTGTCTTCAGAACACCCTGTGTAGTTCGTGCAGTAACATACTTTTGCATTTTTTTCTTTAAGGCAAAAGAAAAAAGGGGCTGGACTTTGAATAGTGCTGGTTACCTACTTGGGCCACGTAAGTCAAGCACTCTTTTTTTGCATTATTTCAAAATGCAGAAGTTTTTTTTTCTTGTAAACCAGTTTGCTGTAGTGTGCTACTCATTTTTCTGATGATTACAGTAATTTTGTCTAAAATACTTCCCCCTTTCCGTGCCCCCCTTTTTTTTTCCGCCCCCCCAAAGCATTACAAAATCTTACAGCATCTTAGATGTCAAGGGAAGAATGACAAAATGTGACATTTTGGCACTTCTCAATGCATTTCAGATTTCACCTTTAAATCTATTTGAAAATGGCTTTGCTACCTGGCTCTATTATACTATTCTCTTTTTTTTTTTCCTTTTCTTTTTTTCAATTCAAGCAAAACAAATTAAAACAATAACATGTAAACTCATTACTGTAAATATTAACAGTTCACTATGTGGAAAAATATTTAATGTACAAGGTGTTTAAAATACAGGAATACATTAGCTTACAAAGAGGAGAATCACAAATGTAGATCATAAGAAAAGAGAAATGCAGTGCTAAGCTGTCTCAAATACCTGTCCTCTTACCATTGTTTCTTGTTAATGTAATAATACTCATTACCAATGTTTCTATACTTTCAGTCTCAGTAATACATGACAAATACTATAGATACTTACTATGACTCTCTTCATTCTTTTAACCAATATTAAGGATACCTAAAAAGAGATCAATATGTCTTAAACCTATTAACTGGTTCTGTAAATGTCTGGAAATATATTTGCCCCGAAGCAGATCTAACCAGATTGGCAAAGATACTGTGGGGAAATGTACTTGTCAAAGTGGCATTTATCTAAGACTGGATAATAGGAATCATCCTTTGTTGCAGGTCGTATTGATCAGCTTTTACTGATAAAGGAAATGCCCATTGCAAGGGGGAGAGAAGAAGCACCAGGGGCATGTAAGATAGTTTACATGAATAACCTTCAAAAACTATCTGCAGTTTTCTTTTAAGCAAACTCATCAGCAACATTTTCTAAAAATAGAGGAAAGAGTAGCAAAAACAACTTCCCGAATTACACATGAATGTACAAACTTTACATTTTTCATTACTACTTCCTCTGAATTCAGTAATAGCTTCAGCAAGTATGTAGTACAGGACTGGGTCTGTAAATGATATAAATCATAAGCACAAATTCAGAAGAAAGGTTATTTTATTTAGTGACATGTTAATTGCTCCTTTGTAATTTTGTACATCAAAAGTGCCCATCGTGATCTTTTCTTTGAAATCCATGAAAAGCAAAGGTTGTTGTTAGGTCAATTAACTCCTCTGATTTTTAATTTATTTATCAGATGCAGTAGATAACCACAGATCTTTTAATGACAAACATGGTTTCACTGGTAAACGTGAAATACAGCCTGATGAGGATATTAAAGCAGGTAATGAAATTCTGAAAGCCAGTATTGTTGATTTGTTTTTTATGTTTAGTAATTTATTTACTGTTATTGAGTTAACTAACTACCTAGATACAAGGCTATTCCTGCACAAAAATCCTAATAAACATATGAAAGGAAGGAAAATATAATTTGGCTATTCGGTGTGCTCTTTGTACATAGTTTAAAACCTCTTGGTGGCTAGGGAAAAGTACTATAATTATGTGGCTTTTAAAGTATAATAGAGCATATTACTTTGAATAAACCTAGTTTTTTCTTTTTATATGTTCAAATAAGTATTTCAAATGTCACCCTAGACACTCAAGTGTTCTTTTTTTCAGCAAAGAAGTGAGCCCATAAAGGAATC